ACTTTTATTAAGCTTTGACCTGCTCAACTCCCATTGATCACTGGTTAGTAGTAACATCCTCTTTTAGGACAGAGTGAAAGCTAAGACTTTCAAACTGTAAATAACTTGATGAAGAGTTGCTGACTTTCTCACCCCCTTGGCTCATGAGCTGAGGTATGCAGCAGCATATAAAATGGAGTGTGTTACAGAACAGACTGGTAGGCTCTAGTTTAGAGCAGATACTACCTAACAGGCCTAGGTCTGTGCCTCGGCATGTTTTAAAGTCAACTTGAGACCAGATGATGGTCAGAGAGGGAAAGAATAGTTCTCTAGAAACTGTCAGTATAATCTAAGTGAAAGATTAATCACATCTCCTTAAATGACTAATCTCCAGGAAGCTGAGGCAATGTGTACATCCATGAATAAAAAGAGTACCTTGAATAACAACTAAAGCAAGCAATACTGTGTATCCCACACTCTTACTCCCCCTGTGAGTGCACCTGCACACACATTGACCAATAAGCTCTACAAATACTTTGTCAGCACTGTTTAGATACAGAAACTGCTCAAGGCAAGTGATGTTTAGCATAAGTTTATTTGCACAAGAATTTCAGCATCATTAAGGTCAAAAACCCAATTTCCAAGAGTGACAAGTGAACACCACAGTGCAGAACAGTAGACAAAGTTACTGTGACCAGTCTCACATTTGGGCTCATCTAAGTATTTGTCATACCTTGTTTTGCCAGCTTAAAAAAAAGTATTCACTTCTCCCAAAGAGATATGAGACAGATTTTCCAAGAGCTGACTTCTTTTAATAGTAAAAATGTAAGAAAAACAGAGGAAAAAGACCTTCTAAATTTCAACAGAAAGTGCATTTTTAGTCGGAGAGACAAGCCCAATCCAGACACTTCAGCGAGTGGCAGTCTCTTCCAACACAAGTGAGAAAAACCAGAGTGCTCCAACCATTCCCAAGGTTTCTACAGCTATAGCCCAGCATCCCACCTTATCTCTAGTTTCACTGAAATTAAAGAACATGTATGAAGTACATAGATGGAAAGGCTAGAAGTTTTACTACTCATTTTGCTCTCCCAACACCCAAATTAGACCAGGCTACCAGTTACTGCGGTCAATTTACTGCTTTTTCCTATACCTAACAGTTCTGGCACCCTGACTGAGTTGAGTGAGAAGGATAGGAAACAAGTACCATCAGTACAGTGACAGCTTAAAATTAAAGCAGTTTGCCCAGGTTCTCTTCTAAGAGGTCTTTTCCCAACTACTCATGCAGTGATAAGCAATCACTACCAACATCAGTGGTTATTCTAGCAATCAGAAATCCACAGAGCCTAGGCACAAAACATACCGAATGCTTAACCTCTCAACTCAAGTCCAAAATATGTGTTTTCAGTTTCAATGAAAACTTGGGGTGTTTGGAATAGATTTAAATACTACCTACTGCTTTGTAGAAGAGATGATTCATGTTAAAGCACAAGGATCTTTTGAAAAATGGTTATTCAGAAGCAAGCAGTAGTCTTCAACCTCCAGCTTCATGATGGACTGAACTAGCTGACTACAAACACAGGAACAACTAAATCTTGAGCTGAGAGAGCATAAAGTATGCTTTACCTTACAACTTGTTAGAATGACCATGGATCAGCACAGGGATCTTACCAAAGTGATAAAGACCCAGTCTACTACTAGGTCTCTTTGATAGCAACTCTGTAAAATAAAAAAGTCTATCTTACAGCGAGAAAGTCACACAAATAAGCTGCAAGTCAAAGGGAACTTGGCAACAAGCGCTGAGAACAGATGCTTAAACCTCAAACTGGCTTTGTCCAGCAGTGCTTATAAGATGTGCAAAAAAACACAGCTATTTTATACCACAGTCTAGTTTAGAAACCTGGTCCTGAGGAATGATGCACTGATACAAGGCTTGCAGTCCAATGTTCCTGCAGCTTTGTTTTAATGCCAGTGCCCAGAGGGAATGTATCAAGGTAACAGTCTGAAGTATAGTAGTCTTTCTCTAACCTCCACTTCGTGCACAAGGGGGCAAAAGTGGTTAGAACAGGTTTACAGAGGTGTCATTAAGTGCTGAAGGGTGACTGAATCAAGCAGGCAGCCTAGACTGTCATGACTGAGGTCATCATTTACCTAGTGCTCATTGTCAAGTTACCCTTGCTACAGGGGTGACCATAAACCTGAACCCAAACAAGCTGATGCACAGCAAACTAAGCCACTGCCACATGCACCATCAAGCCACTAAGACAACCTGAAACAGAAAGGGGTAGACTGCTTGCAACACAGTGATGAAGAGCTACTGAGTACACCAGCATTACCTGCCAAGCCAGGATTATTTTGAAGGCAACGAGACAGTGTTCCAGCGATCCTTTGTACTCTAGTGCCAATGCAATAAGTAGTGTGCAGCTTCAGGATACAATTTATCTATTCAAGAGCTTAACAGCTAACAGCCAGGCATCAGTATTTCTAATGTGCCAAAGCATCTTAAGAAACAGACAGGGAGCACTGAGGTCCTGCAAAGCTCAAGCCCAGGCAGTCAGCTGTTTAGAGGGCAGCCACTCAATGTGAAGCTTCCTTAGAGGCCTTGGCATCAGGTTACCTTACCAAAAGCACAGTGGCAGGAAGCTTAACTTCTCCATAGCTCTATCTCACTAGGAATCCATTACAACCTTTTTTTTATGGCATTTCCTTTTCTAGGAGAGGTACCTGGCTTGATGTTCAGCAACCAAGGCTTTTGGAGATCAGTAAAACGTAAGTCTGTGTTTCCAGCTTGGTAGGACTCCTCCTTAGCATCTCATCACTTCTCCCACATGAGCTGATGCACAGAAACAGTTTCTAAAAATCAGGAGATCCCACAAGATAGATACTTGAGCCTAAGTTATCTGATATGCAAATCAAACATCTCTCTAGGCAATGATTTACTTCTGCAATGGCTACAGCATAAGCTGGCTTTAAAAACATCTACACAAGAGACAGCAGCAATTACAAACCCTTAAATCTTCTTTCTAGTGACACTCTATACTAGATCAAGTATTGCTTTGCATGTAGAAGTTATTCTTGCTAGGACTGCATTCCAGCAGTAAGCTTGCACTAAGTTTAACACACAAGACAACACTGGCATCGTGTTAGTTTTTAAAAAGTCAAAGTCTTGGGTGAGAGATATCTTATCTGAAAACTACACCAACTCCAAGACTGGGTTTGCTTTCCAGTTTAGCTTCTAGGGCTGACTAATGGGGAAACCTCTAATGAAAAAAGCCACAACATAATTCACCAAATTATTTGTATATTTGCTACTGAAGTTGCTTACAAAACCACACAAAAAATTAAGCTAAAGCCTCCTTGGCTACATACAGTCTGCTTTGTAGATTGCACCCCTCCCTGCCTTCCTAAGCTAGATGAAAGTCTGAACACAAGAGTAGCCTCGCTGCTCTAGTGAGGCTGTGTTTATGAAGTAGTTATGAAAAGTGAGAGAACTTGCAACGTAACTAGAAGCTGTTTTTACAGCCATTTAAGTGCTGCACTGCTGCTGTTTCCACCTTGAACAGCAACCCAACATTGGTGCTGCTTTCTGCTTTACCTTTTAAGCTTAAATAAATTGTTTGATCAGGCACTTTGGTCTCACAAGCTTGCAGAAACAGCTAGAGGTAATAAAAATTCAGCAAGCACGCATTCTTGAACATTGCACCAGTAAATAGCTCTAAGATTTGCCATGCTAGTCTACCTCTCTGGTTAAGCAAAGGAAACTCAAGATCATTTGCTGTATGAATTTTACTATTGTAATTCAGTGAAAATCATCCAGTTAATATACCAGTTTCTAACACCACTATATAAGTAACTGGGGAATTTTTAGCTTCTTTATAAAGCACAGGAGCCTCAAAGCAGCAAGTTCAGCACATATCCTCCAAGAAGTCAGCTCCCTATCCCTCCAAGGGAGTGCATACTCTTCCAGAGGCTACTCTGAAAACAGGCCCAGAATTTCAACACATACAGCTTCTGTGGAGAGCTCTACTCAGGGTTTATATATAATCTCTTCAAGTGAGGGTTAAGACCAGCAAAAAGGAAAAATTTTACTCTAGCTGCTCAAAATACCATCTCATGCAGTGACCATGTGATAGTGATAAACTTTAAGTGGTGACAGGAAGACAAGCCTTCAGGACCTGCCTGAAGTTGTAGAGTAAAAAATTCATTTTAGGAGGCACTTTTGGAATTCATACTGTGGCAGGAATGCACATAACCCTGCAGATCACAGTGTTTTGGGATTGGGGTGATTTTTTTGCTGGGTTTTGTTTCGGTTGGGTTTTTTGAGGTTTTGTTTTGTTGTTGCTTTTTGCTGTGGAACTGTGAAGAAGGAAATTGAGCCAAACTCAGTATAAGAGTTGTGTTAGTTTCCAGCTGTGCTAAAAACTGTTTTGAAGGATACAATCAGAAAGGCTTTAGCTTGATCCTGGACTCAAGAGTATTTTTCCATCATAAATATTCATACTATGGTTTCAACTCTATTTAAAGCTTCAATTCATAATTTCAAGGACTTTTTGCATTACCGAGTTTTAGATTGTGTTTTGGTGCATGTTTAGAGATGCCACCTCCCAAATTTTTGTACTCAAGAAAAATTTAGCCAGCTTATGCTTTAGAGATAGGCTATGGAATCCATCTTCAACTGCCAAAAAATTAATCTTGATTTTGAGGCAAGATCACATATCTGTGGGTACTAAAGGAAACAACATTTAGGCCCTCTACAAGACAGACAGGTACCCGTACTGTTACCACCTCTGTTACTACACAGCCAGAAAGTGAAAGCAACCCAAGCATGACATGCACCCATTCTTTTAGTTTAGTCTATTCCTTCTATAGAAGTTTGGTCAGAACTTGAACTGAAGAAGAATAACGAGGTTATGCAATAGAAAGCAGAGTTTTGCTGCTACTCCAGGTGCAGCTTCTGCACAAGGCATTTATTAACTAACCCAGTTTACTGGATATTCCACTGAAATCACATCTTAATAGCCACTTCCAGAACTAGTACAGAGTTTCTTAACAATTCCTCTTAACATTTGGCTGCTGGTTCTCTTCTCCCAATGAAGAGGTAATAAGGCTTCTTGGCATTTGTAGAGATACACTGAAAGGTTCATAGCAGGTCATCTGGTTGCATAATCCCACCGCACACCAGAAATGGACAGTTCAATGTAGTCATGCTTCCAGTAGAAAACATCCAACTGGCAGTTATTACTTATTTATATATACACACTCAGCATCTTGGCAATCAGTAGCCTCCATTCAGGAACACTCGAGTGAAGCCATCAATTGCAAGGCAACCAAGTGGGGTAGGACTGGCTGTACAGCACGGGAGCACTTGCAAGATAATAGTTGCTGAAGTTTACATCACTAACATAAGGTGCTGGCTGGTAGTAACACGTAACATTAGTGGCGTTAGGGATGACGTTTTGTTCTGCCAGCACTTTGAGTGCCAGCAGAGAAATCAAGTTGAGAGTCTGCCTTCGCTCGTGTCCCATAAGGCAGACTGTGCTCTCATTCACCACCCTGCGCAGAATCATGAGGTAGTCATATTTGCTCCTCTCTTCTTTGGAGAAGTGGTTCTGGAGGTAGGTCTCTAGCTTGCGCTGCTGGTCCAGGATGTCTGGGAAGTCTATGAAGAATCGGGAGCACATGTAGCGCTCTAAGGTTTTGATCTCATCCTTATCCATGGGCTTGAAGTCTCGTACTAAGAGGTTACTGTACTTTAGAAGCCCACCACCTCGGATCTCTTCAGGATTTTTGGTAGCTATCAGTTTGTTCTGGAGGTGGTCAAAAGCTGCTTCAAAATCTCCATACATACTTTCCCCAATCACAGTTGGATGGAAGTGCTCTGACATGGGAGTTTCCGAGTAGTCGTAGTAAAAGAGCAGGGAGTCCAGTATGATTTGGAATGAGTCCACACTGAACTCAAACTGCCGTCGTATACAGTCTACAAACTTCAGCTCCACATTTCTGCCATGCTTGTTGGAAAGTGATATCAAGCTCCAACGGTCAGTCCCTGTGTACACTTTCACTAGCTTCTGGATGTAGGCTTCCTTCAGTGTTACGGGACTGATTTTTAGCTTGCTTACTCCTTCTGGCAAGAAATTCAAGAGGGATCGCAAGACCACATCTCGAACTAACTGAAACTCTGCCTCACTTGGAAGAGAAACTTGAAAAATGAGATCCAGGTCTTTGCATCCCAGCCCATTATCCTTGACCAGGACATGACCAGCTGCAGAGCCATTCAGACGGGCATCGTGTACCACAATGCCTGCTTCACTCAGCCTACTCCGAACTGTCTGAACAATGTCCTTCAGAGTTATCTTCAGTGTTGGGAAGTTACCTCGGCCATGGATTGGAACCACCTCTGTAAGAACCTCATGCAGACGGCTGACCTGCTCCCAGTTCAGCACACTGCACGACATGCAGCCTGCTGCGTTACTTCCTTTGCCTGCCATCTTAAGGCTTTTCTTCTCCAAAGAAACTGTAGGGAGGTAGAATATAAAAAGGAAAAGACAAGTCAGACTTTCTGTTTATGCTTCCTAGGCACATTCCTAGGCTCTGTTTTTCCATCTATTCACACGGACAAATTAGAAGGAACTAATTCTATGTACTAATGATTATCAGCAAGCCTTTCACCTAACATGATACACAGCTTCTCTATTGGTGTAAGCAGAAAAAAATTTAGTTGTCATTGTCTTTGTTTTTTGCAAGTTAGAGTAACTTCAGAAAAGCACTTCATATCAAATGGAAATTATCAAAGATAACACAAAAGCTTTACCCAAGTTTAAAGTCATCTGGAGCACGAGCTGAAGCCAGATGAGCTGCAAAGCATTTTCGAAAGTAAAGCTCTGAAGTTGTTTCATGATACATATAAAGTTCAAACTGCTCTCTCCAACTAACACAACAGTAGAAGACACTCAGGTGTTAGTTTCAGGGCTTAGACATCTAGTCCACTGAAAGCACTTAAATTATGCCAGAGATAGAAGATTTCTTCCTTTTCACAAAAGACTTTTCTTTTTGTACTATCCATCATCTATGCCTTAAAGGATAAAGGCCAAGTCCACCTTGCTCCTGCAAAAAGCTGCAGCACTTCAGCATCCTGGACAGAACTTCAGCTGCAAAGTCAGGTAACAACATTCAACTTGGGCTCCAGTCTTTGTAAGCAACTCTTTACTCTTCTTCAGAGACATTGCCTAACAAAACCACCTCTGTGGAAACATTCATAACTGCCCCAGCTTTAGCTCATTTGAGAAGGGTAAATAAGTTTATAAGAGCTGGGATTATATTCAGATTACATGTATCAAGTTAGCATTACTCTTTTAACACTGAGAATCTCACTAACCAGACTTGATCACAGCCTTGCGTGAACATTTTAAGCACAAGAGAATGATTTGCTCACATGTGGCAAGATTCCTCAAGTTGCTTGTCTTTTACATATAAGCATGTAGATACTTACATATGTACTACAGTCATGCAATTCCAAGTGGTATTAATACTCTCTTCTAAGTGTTCCTGGTTTCTGTTGTAGCCAGGTGCTTCCTGACAGCTAAAGACTAATTGAAGCCTCACCTTCTTCTGCCCCAAGTACTTGTGAAGACTGCAGCTGCCAAGGTCAGACTAATCAAACTTAAGCAAATTAACTCTTGCCTACCAAGAATAGTTTAAAAGCCAGCCATATAGTTTCCTAACATGCAACAGCATGGGACATTTTTAAATCAAGTATCAAAGAACAGCTATTGTCATCTCATGCCCCTCCTATTCCAGCTTTTAATTTTTGAGCAGCTCATTTGACCTGTCACCACCTCTGCAGGAGAGTCACATCCTAGATCAAATACACAGTAAGGTTAAAATGCTCCTGGGGAACTTTCTTCTGTCCTTGAGGATGAGCTGCTGCATTACAAACTGTGCTGCTTTGGGTTACATCAGCACCGGCAGGCACAACACAAACCTGTGATTCACAAGATGATTAATCCAGGATAAATCAAGAGGTTCTCCAAGCTCAATCCTTAATGCTCCAACACAGCATAAACCCAAAAGCATCAAGCCTACCAGCAGTTTTTCTCAGACACTTCAAGTGCATTAAAGTATATTTCCATTGTGAACTCCCTGTATTTCCATTAAATCCTTCAGATCACTAAAGAACACAAAAGTCTTCTAACTTCAGCTGCAAGTGCTTCCAGCTACTGCCTCTGAAAATGTTCCCTCTCCTCCTTCCTGTTTGTAGCCCTCTCCGCAGCTTAGGCAACACACACATCACCCAGTAACCAGAAAGGACTTGGACCAGTGCTTCCCACCCACACACACTTAGTTCTGCTTGGTGATCCTCACCTAGGAGAATAATGCACATTGCTGCCCTTGGGGAAGGAAGACAAAGTTCTTTCATTTCCAGTTCAGCAGAGAATTTAATTATCAAGAAGTCAGCCTCCAAAGCCTTCCATCACTCGTATTTGCCTCCTCAGCTAGGTTTACATTAGTGACAATAGGATCTTAGCGACTTCAGAGTATTTGGGATGTTAGTAGTTCACATACTTCTTGCTTCACCACTAACCATCCCCAACACAAGAAAACCTGATACCTGAAGATGCTCATTCTCTGGGAATGAAACGACTACGGAAGCAAGAGATACTGGTAAAGATACTTAGTAAGTGTAAAGAACATTGGATGTCGCACTCAGATCAGAGGCAGAAGGAGCAAGGACAACGCACCTTCACCTTTGCCACGATGAGGTGCTTTATTCTGCAGCAGCAGCTTGCCACTATAAGACATAACTTGACACAACACCCAAAAAACTGCAGGCACCCGTTCCCTCAGGGTCACAAGTCCCCCTCGGACCCCAGCGGCTCTGAGGGCAGGGAGGTCCGGCTCCCTCCGTGGGACGTTCATCCCTTCACCGGGAATTCCTTCCCCGGGATTCAACAAAACCCGCGTTCTGCCGCTTTAAATATCAACAACCACTACAAAAGCGTTACCGAGGGCTCGCTCCCGGAGAGCCCGCACGAAAGGGACCGTAACCCCGCCCGCTCCGGAGAGGAGCCCCCCGCTCACCTCAGCCGCGCCGCACACCCCGAGCGACCGCGCCAGCCCCGCCACTGCCCGCGCCCGCCCTTTATGGCCCTTTATGGCCGCCCCGCCCCGGCCCGGCCCGGCCCGCCCCGCTCGGCCCTCCCTGCGGAGCGGGGGCGGCTCTGGCCGCCGGTCCGGCCGCCGGGCGCTCTGCCCGGGGAGCCCCGCGGCGATCGGGGTGGGGAGAGGACAGGGGGGCCGCCCGCACCCTGGAACCCTCAGACCCCGCCTCGGGGACTCGCCCCGCAGCCTCTCCGCACAGGGGGGAAACTTTTCAAGGGCCCCTCAGTTCAGGAAGGACATTGAAGTGCTGGAGCGAGTTCAAAGAAGCACAACGAATCTGGCGAAGGGTCTGGAGCACAAATCCTGTGAGGACCGGCTGAGAGTTGGGGTTGTTTATCCTGGAGAAGGGGAGACTAGCGCTACCTGAACGGAGGTTGTAGCCAGGTGGGGATTGCCCTCTTCTCCCAGGCAACGAGTGACAGGATGAGAGGAGATAGTCTCAAGATGAGCAAGGGGAAATTTAGGTTGGACATTAGGAAGAATTTCCTCACAGAAGGAGTGATTAGACATTGGAATGGGCTGCCCAGGGAGATGGGGGAGTCTCTGTCCCTGGAGGTATGTGAGGAAAGACTGGATATGGCACTTTAGTGCCATGGTCTAGTTGACGTGGTGGTATTTGGTCATAGAGTTGGACTCGATGAACTCAGAGGTCTTTTCCAACTTAATTGATTCTGTGGTTCTGAGATTCAGTGGACTATGATAAATAGCTGACTGAAACACAACACAGCTTTCCCAAAGGCCCCCCCATCCCAAAGAGAACAGATCCCAGCACAGATCCCAAACGTCCAAGCTCTGCCAAACAGTTCACTCTGTTGCCCCATCAGAAACGGCCATACTAGGAGTTCATACAGAACGTACAAGGATGTGCTTGCAAGGACATGACAGCGTGCACGTGTTGACATAGTGTGCTACTGGAGACCGCAGCTGACGAGCTGTGGGAGGTTCTGGAGACATGGAGGAGGAGGATGAAACAATTGGACAGGAAGCAGCTTGGAGATGCAGTGTCACAAAAATTGGCTGGTGTTCAACAGCACAGGGTGCAAGATTGTGCCCGCTGGGGGCAAAAGTTATGATTTCTGCTGAGAACACAACATTTCAGCAACACAGGGGAGAAAGGACCTGAGGTATTTGTCTTTTGTAGGATAATCAAGACTTGTTAGAGGCAGGGAAAAAAGCAAAACTTAACCTAGGACTGCCAGCTGACATAATTTTAGTAGAGTTTAGAAAAGTACTTACAAAGAAATGGCAAAACCACCCCCATACCACCACATCTGTTGCACTGCTTGGTCATACATAGTCAAGAAGGATGAGTTAAAACCTGCACATGCACAGAGAAAAGCTGACCTTGTAAGGGGAAACTGAAAAGCTCTTCTTTGCCGAGCAAAAAAAAACAGACTTGCCTTACTTCACCAACAAAGCCAAAGCTGAGCAGAAACATAGGGGTGGGTTAGTTAATTTAATTATTTATTTTTCTCCAATAGCCCTCCATTTGGATAAATACCAGGAAACAATAGGAACTATTTAAATTGAAGTATAATATTGACACAAGAATCGGGGCAAGTTATCATCTTTTTTGTCCAATAATCATTAATTCAGAGCATCACAGGATGGAGGGAGTGGAATAAAACTAACTAGTTTCAAGACAGAGCTAGAAAAGAAAATATGTAATATGAGTGGCTGTGATGGTACAGAGCTGGACGTGAGGATCCAGGTATCTCTCAATATATTTTACCCTGTGTTTCTAAAATTAGAAAGAGAAGTAGAGAACTCAAAGAGAAGAAGTACCAGTAATGAGAGAGGCATAATCACCACTAAGGAAATGTCTAACTTGGAGGTTATAACAGTGAATGATCTCACCTTCTAAGAATATTTCTTCGGCAATATTTCTACCTCAAATATTATTGTCTTATGACAATAACTGATGACTTTGAACAGTATATTTTCTGTTGCTCCACAGGCAAACAGCAATTAAATGACTTTTTGAAAAGTATTTTCTATTTGGAATATTCGTTAGGTACCAATATAGGTAGAGATAAACTGCAGCATATACTGCTATTACAGATGTTAAAGTATTAATCAAAGGTTCATACTTTACATTATTTGTTCACAGTTTCTTGTTTCACAAAACCATGTGTGTGAACTCAAAGAGGTATTTCAATTCTGTCATAGGGTGTTTTCTGCATCCTCGACTTGCAGACCTTGAGTATCTGTCAGGGGAAGCACAGCATTCTTTGCAGTAAGCTTAGATCTCCTGACCATACACTTGTTCTTTTTAATTGCTTTTCATGGGTCCCACAGAAAGAGTCCATGGGATAGGAATTGGAAATGCCATTAGAGACAGCTGGAGTAGACTTCTGGGTAAATTGCCAGAATAATGAGGAATGCATCTTTGAGTAATGAACGGCCGAGAGAACGAGTCCATTTACAACTGATGAGAAGCTGCCTTCTGCTATCCATCCATCTGTGTCTGTGCAGTGGATTACAGTGCTGTGAGGATGGAAAATGTGGAAATATACAGTCTACTGCTGAGACGAGAGGTTAAAAACCATGGGTTACTGCTCAGGTGCTGTGGCTGCTGAAGTGACTGACACAGACCCAGACCCAGACCCAGACCCAGCTCCAGTGTACAATCTTAATGTTCAACCTTTATTTAGGGCTGACTTTCCCGCTGTCATCTGTAACTCCAAGTCTAGAGAGAAGTAATGGATGGTCCAATCTTTGAAAGCCATCCTTTCTCTAAGAGTGACTGGGATATGGATAAATTCCTGCTGCAAAACAGTGAGCAGTGGCAGCCACAGTCCCCACTCTGCCCTTGTACAACTGTCATCTCACCCTTCTCTCATAGCTCTTCCATCTCTCATTTCTGCCTGTGGTCCCAGTGTTTCCTTCCAGCTTTCATCCCTCCCATCCTATCCTGTGGCATACCCCTCTTCAGGATACACAGCACTGGACCTGTTTCAAAGGGTTTTCAGAAAGAGGATGGAGAATGAAGGAAGACCAGCTGGCTCCTGGGATGGCAGTGTGACAGGGGGAAAAGAGTCTGTGAACTGCCAAAACAGAGGCAAGTACGGAGTTTTATTAACACAGTGCAAGTTGTTCATTTTTATCCAGTAAATAGGGCAGCAAATCTGGCAGAAGAAACTCAAACTCTCACTTAAAAGCTTGTAAGTCAGCTCAGTGACCTGGCACTGTCAGATTAGTTTCCTTACGTGATGCATTGCTGAACGTAATGTGTCATCATAAATCTTGGTTGCTACAGCTGTTAAAGCCATAAAGTGAAGCAGAGTTATTAATACCCAGTAGTAGTAGCTGTCAGGTTCCATTCTGTAATTGAGCATCAAATCTGCAGTTGGAAAACTCTTCTTTTTTGTCTGACATGTGGAGTAACTGCATGTCTGCAGATGCTTAGAGCGTGGAGACGGTTAGGAACAACCCACCCACACAGGGTTATGATGAAATCTTCCTGCAGAGAATCAAGAGTGAGCTCCTTTCTCTGTTGCTAGCTGCCTCTTTCTTTGAGGTTTCCTATTGGGAGATGCAGCAATCCTTTCTTCTGATACATGGATAAAGGTAGATGTGGAGTCCGGTATAGATGCATAGAGAGTACTAATGCAGGAAGCAGTAGCCTTTCAAAAATCTGAGGTTAAATTTGCTACTAGAAGCACTGTGACTTCTGGGAATTCTCTGCTCCAAGGGATGAGATGCTGCCATGTAGGACTTCCCAGCTTCCACGTAGTTCTGAGCTCAGCAAGAGCTGAGAGACACTCCTTTTCCAAGAGGCAGGAAATGCCACCAGTCTCCTTCACCAGCAGGACCCGTGCAAAGTGGGAGCTCTGTGTTCCTGCTCCATTTACATGTGAGGAGGACACAGAGACCCAGAGCTGCTGTCTCTCACATACATCTTCTTGAAGGTGTCCCCACCCATCAGCCTTTTCACTACTTTGCTGCGTGCCACGTCTGGCAACTTGGACTGTGGGCTGCAGACTCTTCTCACAAATCCTCTGATATACATTCCCAAACCTACCTAAAAACCTGAAGGAGCAGAGCTACCCTACTGTGTGATGAAGTACACAGGCCAAATTTTTCCCGCAGGGAAGACACGGTTACCTCTCTCCCCAGACCACGGTGCTTTTGCAGCAGGAGAACGGGTTTTGCCTACCTAGTTGTGCTGTGAGGATGCAGAGAGTGCAGCCCAGAGAAGCTTGGCATTTTCTTTTGCCTTACCAAGCAGCAGGGCAGACACACGCAGAGATGGAATGCACTTGCTGGAGCGAGTGGGCAGCAGCCCATCATCTGACTTGTGTTTTCCTTGCACCTGAGCTTGCCCCAACTTTTTAATTAGTCACACGGTTTCCTGGCACCCAGGGGAGAACAACCCATCAAAATTTTCGGTGATAGAGGAGATGATGGGAGGGAGGCAGAGGCGGGGGGAGAACAAGGGTTTGCTAGTCAGACTGAAAAAAAATATTTACTCTAATTTGGAAGTCCTGAGCAAATTCAGGACACACCACCTCAGGCTGCAGGTGGCAAACACAGCAAAGGGGGATACAGAGAAACACCAAAGGTTGTATAGGGAGGGAAACCTCAGTCATGTGAAGCCCTTGGGTACTGATCAATCTGTGGGCTCTGCTCAATGGACTTTGTACTTTCTCCCACTACAGCTTTCCACTTTGAAATCACATCTTTCTAACATTCCTTCCCCATTCATAGCTTTAGGAACCAGTACAGAGAAGTGTAGTGGTCACACAATGACTATACCAACTCCTCGGGATTCTGCATCTGCCAGCCCGGCCTGGTTTTTTTTGCAGATGATACTGTTTGTCCATGCAGATTCACAGATTTGGAGGCTAACAAAGATGATTAACCACCTCTTAGTACTTGTGTAGTCCCTGGATAATATAATCCCACAGTAAAACTCATAGCCCCTTCAATAACTTGCATTTGTCTGCAGACTTCCTTCAGATTGCACAAGAGAGGAACAATCTGTTTTTTCCCTATGATAGGTTGCTGCAATTGTTATCTGCTTTCACCAGTAAAGGCCCAAACACAGTCTGATCTGGTGTTAATTTCCACCTATCTTTTTTTTTATTACGCTTTTTTTTTTTTCCGTGCTAGATTATAGGGGCTGATATTGAAAAGTTGTCTGCACTTTTTAATGCCTTTTCATTAAACCTTTCATTTCTCACTGGTGGCAATAGCAACTGGAAAGGGACGTTTTGCACAGTTATGTAGCTTAAAATAATCTACATGAGAGCTGTCAGAGACCCCCCATCCTCAGATACGCAGTCACACCCTTTCCTTTGGGTCAGGTTTATGTGAGTTAGAACTGATGCATCCAAAGAGATTTCTCTTTGCCTCAGGCAGCTTTCCAGCTGGGCTGCTGCACAGTCACACAGACACTAGGATAAGCATGGGAGGAGAAGCAGGATGGCAGCAAACTTTAAGGTGCTATGGACTGGTACTCTCAGAAACCTTGAGGTCCATCTGAACTACAAAGAGCCATCTCAATCTGCTTTGTGGGCCACCAACAGCACATGGAAACTCTACAGCTCTGGAAGCCGTTGTCCCACTGTCCATCTCCCAGCAAGACTGACAACTGCTGGCACTGGTGAGGAGGTGTCCTTGATGATGCTACATGGGTAGCATCCTCAACAGCATCTCTGTGGTGGTACATCCTTCCTGCAGCGTGACAGCTGCTCCCCAGGAGCCCAGCTCCACCTGCCTGTCCTGCAGGAAAGGGATAACAATCTCCCTTCACAGCAGGTTTCAGTCTCACCTTATCAAGTCTGAGGCGACTGCCGATCTCACCTCCTCCGTGGCTAGTCAGCATCCTGCAAGGATCCAGGAGGCCCTTGCAGATGTTTTTGCAACAGCTCAGCCTACAGCTGTCTCGTACAATGCTTCCAGTGACAGGTAATTGGGCTTTCAGGCTCTCCTATCCCATACAGTGGAGACAGGATAAGGTTCCACTTGGGAGTGGAAGTGTCCCACCTGGGGAGAGAGCCTTAGCATAGCTCTTTAGAATGAAATCTGACATTTTGCCTCTCTTCAGAAACTTGCAAAGTCTAGCCTATGCTGGGTAAAACTTGCAGCTATGTGGTAGAGATCTCTTTGGACAAAAATGCTTGCGGACTAAGTGAAGAATTGGGATCTCTGGAGACAAGAAAGAAAAGCTAAGTCTGGCAATGCGTTGGGTGGTAGTGCTTTGTGCAGGCATTCTAAGAGCTAAGGGAGCGTATCCTTATCTACAGGAGGAAAAGTGAGTGCTCTGCCTCCTTCTGCCATAGACCAGACCTGGATCATATGATGGGTAGAAAAAAAAGGTGGCTGCACCTGTGTTTTTAGTGGCAAACTTTGGAATCAAAGATTTCCAGAGCATGTGATGCCTCTTATCTATGCTGCATCAGATTGTCTACACTGCATTCTTAATCCAGAGGGTAGTTGGGCATTGGAACAGACTCCCCAGGGAAGTGGTCACAGCACCAAGTCAGAAAGAGTTCAAGAAGTGTTTGGACAATGCACTCAAGCACATTGTGTAATTCTTGGGGCTGTCCTGTGCAGGGACAGGAGTTGGACTTTGATCCTTGTGGGTCTCTTCCAGCTCAGCATATTCTATGATTCTGTGGATTTCAGTGCTGAATACAAGTAATAGCTCAGTTAACAGTAAGAGATCAGAATAAAAATAAGGATTTAGTTACAGTTACTGTTTAAGACTTCAAAATCTACTTGTTGCATGAGGGGTACTATAAAATAGAGGAGTGAGGCAGCTCTCAAGCTGGACCAGACATTTGATTTTCAATGGCAAGAACCATTCACGTTTTCAACAAGGCCAATGAGAAATTATTCTGTCTGGCTTCCAGTTAGGCCGCAATGGGAAGCGTAACCAGTTCATAAGGTGTGTGACAAAAAAGGTTCACAGGGATGGAAAACCTGTGACATTAAAAAGGTGACTGGCGTTTGAGTCCTGAATGAGAAGCCTCCGCCTAGAAAGAGTTAAAAGTTAAATGCTGTCTGCTTTTGACTGACCTCCCACTTAGGTGAATGCGACCATGTAACAGACCTTTTCAGTAAGCTGATACATTTCCCAGCAAACTTCCTGTGTACCTCTTTTCCTGTGGGCAAACTCAGCTCAGGTGGAGAAATCCTGCTGGCAGTTACCATCCTATAAAGCAGCTAGGGATCAGCAATCGAAAGCTCCTCACAGCCCTGCTCTTTGGTTTTAATCTCCAAGCCAGTATTCACAATCACGAATCTGGATCCCGATGTGGCTTCCATATACTTCCCAGATAACTGCTCCTTTCCGCACTACGTTTGCCATTGGCATCACAAGATTTCTCTGAGTAGTAAGGATAGCAGAAATGAGAACTGGAAGTTCAGACACTGGGTTTTCCTGTGGTGCTCACCTCTGTTCTGCTTCTATCTATTCAGTTGCACTGAAGCAAAATCCAGGCACCCATCTTGAAAGAGCATCCCACCAACTCCACTCAGAGAACTCAAAAAACCACTCTGAGAGTGTCGAAGAGTTGTTTCTACGCTACCTCAAAAAAAAAAAAAAGTTAATAGAAAACACACAAACTGTAGCAAATGGAGGGCTCAAAACCACGAGATGAATTTTAAAGTAATGGAATTTTAATAACGGCATAGTGGGAGATTCTTTAATGATATAAAAAAGGGAGGGGGGGTGTGCCAAGTGCCAAGAGGATGGAGCCAGGCTCTTCTGAGTGCTGCCAGCCACTAGCACACGAGGCAATGGGCAGAAAGTGATGCACAGGAAGTTCCACCTGAATATGAGGAACAACTTCTTTACTGTGCAGGTGACTCTGTACTGGAACAGACTGACCAGAGAGGGTGTGGAGTCTCCCTCACTGGAGATATTCAAGAACCATCTGGATGTAATCCTGTGCCATATGCCCTAGGATGACTCTGCTTGAGCAGGGAGGTTGCACCAGACGACCCACCGTGCCCTTTTCCAACCTGACCCGTCCTGTGATTCTGTGGGAACTCTGTGATACGTGTTTTCTGAGCATTTGTAAGGAGACGGGGAGGTAGGAGACACTTTGATTTTGAAAGAGGCGGAGGAGAGCACCGCACCGGAACGCAGACATGCGTAAGGATTATTATGGAAGTTAGTAGTTAACACCGGCGGAGGAAGAGGACAGCGGCGCCCTGCCCGCGGTGCCGGGAGCGCAGCCGCGCCGCGCCGAGGGCGGCGCTTCCCCTCCCGCCCGTCGCAGCCATGGCGGCGGCGGCGGCTGCCGGCGGGATGGTGCCGGTGCTGCCGGGGCTCTACGTGGGCGGCGCGGAGTCGTGTTCGTGCCCGGAGGCGCTGTCGGCGGCGGGGGTGGTGGCGGTGCTGACGGTGGACGCGGAGGAGCCGCCGGCCGTGCCGGGGGTGCGGGCCATGCACGTCCGGGCGCGGGACGAGCCCGGCGCGGACCTGCTGAGCCGGCTGGACGAATGCGCCGCGTTCCTGGGCGCGGCGCGGGCGGGCGGCGGGGCCGCGCTCGTCCGCTGGTGAGCGCCGGGGCGGCGGCGGCGGGGCCGAGCGCTCCCCGCGGGCCGCGCTGCTGACGGCCTGCCCTTGCCTTGCAGCCACGCCGGGGTGAGCCGCAGCGTGGCCGTGGTCGCCGCCTACCTGATGAAGACGCAGGGGCTCGGCTGGGAGGAGGCGCTCGCCGCCGTCAGGGCCGCCAAGCCGGACGCAGAGTGGGTGTCCCGCCCGCGACCCCCGCGCCGCGCCGCGCCCGCCCGGCGCCCCCTCACTCCGCTCTCCTCTCGCCCCCCGCCGCAGGGTGAACCCGGGTTTCCAGGGGCAGCTGAAGCTGTACCAGGCCATGGGCTGCGCCGTGGACAGCAGCAGCGTCCTCTACAAGCGGTACCGGCTGGAGATGCTCAGCGAGAGGCTCTCCGGTGAGTGGGAGCAGCGGCGGGGGCGCGAAGCAAAGCTTGGGGCAGTCTCCCAAGTGTCTGTCCCGAAGTGAACACAGAAGGCCGTGTCAAAGAGGGTTGGCTTCGAGTTTTGCCCTCAAAGCAGCCGAGCCAGGAGTTGGCCAGGCAAGCATTCACATCATGCTGACCCTGGAGAGCCCTAGCTCATCAGCGGGGAAAAAATGTGCCTTTGAGAGATGCCTGAGAAATAAGATCCGTAAGGAGCCGTGCTCTTTAGCAAAGTGCAAAAATGGTAAAGGTCAGTGTGATACATTTTGTGATTTATTTGTCTCTGGCAAAGCAAAAAACATCCTCAGAAAAGAAGTCAGTGAGATTAAAAAATTAAAAATAACACACAAAACTTGAGATGAAGTTGAAATCTGAACTCAGCTTTTATACTTCGATTTGCTGGAGGGTAACTGTAATACATGTGTGTGCCTATGTGTGATTTTATAATAAGATAATCTGTAGCTTTTCTTGCAAGATCTCAGTGTTGCATACTCGGTGTGACAATGCTGTCACCCTTTAAGTGTCATTGTCCTTAGCAGTTCCTATTTGTAAGCTGACTTTCTGTTTTGTGTGCACTAAAACATTGGCAGAACTATTCCAACACCTCCTCTGCCTTTGCTTTCTTTTTAAGCAATAAAATAAATCAAATTACAGCTATTTTACCATTGTTAGGGCCATAGGCTAGATCTCAGTTTCTTGCATTAAGCAAATCCCTGTCTTAGGTGTGGTGGGATGAGGCTCTTTCATTTTTCGCTTATTGGAATTGGTGAGAGCAAAATGAAGAAGGAGGGTCCTGCATGCTATGGCTGGGGCAGAGGTGTGGTCCTGTCTTCTTCCCAGGAATGCAGTGTGGCTGAGTTGATCTGATCCACAACTTGGTACTGACCCCTCTGCAGAACCTCAAGACTTGCCCCGAGAAGTCTTTGCTGTTGATCCAACCAGTATATGTCAAACTCCAAACACAGAGGTTCTCTACAGGTGCAGGAAATGCAGGTACTTTATAAATAAAAATATGCGTTCATATATATATGTATATTAAAAATACTTTGTATTTCTCCTTAAAATGTCATTGTGAAATCCACTCGAGAAGAAGAGCTCATGTAAATCAATGGGCATGTCATTACTGTCAGGTCAAGGATGAGCTGTTGCCTAAGTTTCCATATTGTGTGTGTCAAAAAGAAATCAAAGTACAAAATACAAACCTTTTTGCAGCTTGTGATGCAGCACTGGTGCAGCCTAACCTGCCACGTTCTATAGGCAAGCATGATTCCACTTAGCTTTGCTCCTAAACCTTAACTTAGAGTTTGGGTTTTGACAGTCGGTTTCTCCAGAAGAAGCTTCTGATAAATTTGGGAGTTCAGTGAATTTTAACTGCTTTTTATAGATCGCTTAAAGGGAAATTGAATAATCCTGCTGTGGCCTGGGCGTAGGTTTATTCAAGTGTATGACTGTAGATTTTAAGTTCTCCTAGACAGGAATTGTTATGAATTGTTCTAAATTGTTATAAAAGACAGCATACAGCTCTGGGACAAAGTCCTGGACTACACAAATCACTAGATTTGTTAGGGTTAGGCTTCTAGACTAATTTTTACAAATGTCGGATTTGTACTCCTGTTTAATTACTGTCAGGAGGTTCATATCCCTGTTTTCTATTGTCTGTAGATTTCCCTAGTTTAAAAAGTGACATTTGTTTTGTTTCTTCCTCTCCCCCCACCGTGTCATGGAGGGCAGACGCGCTCTGTTCCGTAGTTCCAGCATTTTGTCCCACATGGAGGGAAGCGGACCAACAGCCTTTGCCCACAAGAGGATAACAGATTCTGCAAGGCTTTGTGGCAATGGCCATGAAAAGTGCACCTCTTACTTCATTGAACCCGTGCAGTGGATGGAGCCAGCATTGCTTGGAGTAATGGAAGGACAGGTGGGGCATGCGCTTTATTTCTTTGGATTTTTTTTTTTCAAAGGCAGAACAAACTATGTCTGTTCCCTGAAAGAAAAGTCCCCCACACGGGGATCTGGGTCTCCCAGCCTTTCTGGCATGAACTTTTCAGCTTATGGACAGATTCTTAAATGTAAAATACCCTTTTACAAGGAAATGAGGTGGTGCTCGGGTTGGGCTGAGAACACCAGGGTATTGGACTGGGTTTATCTGCTGTTTGTTTTCAGTATGGGAAATGTTTGTGGGACTTAAAAAACCTGTTGTGGTCTCAGGCTGACTTGAGTCTTTCTGGACCCTGGTAAAACTGTCCTGGAACCACACCAGGTCCCAGCAGCTGCATTTCCACACCATCCCTTCTGTCAGCACAGCTGCCTGCTACATCCCAGGGCTAAACAGCAATACAGCCATCACCGTCTACCTTTTTGGTTTGTTTTTAATGAGCTCTACACCTGCACGTGCCTTGTCTGCACCGAGTCTTGTGTTTTTCTTGCAGCTTCTGTGTCCCAAATGCACATCGAAGCTGGGCTCCTTCAGCTGGAGGGGTGAGCAGTGTTCCTGTGGCCGTTGGGTGACACCAGCCTTCCAGATTCACAAAAGCCGAGTGGATGAAGTGAGGACGCTGCCAGTTGGTAACTTCCAAACTGCCAAAACCTGAACTCATCACTTCACTCCATGGATTTCTTAACATCCACAGAAAACTACTGGTTGGTCTGTGGTTGCCAGGAAGAAGCTTGTGACTTCTATCCCTTTGTGAGGTAGTGGAATTACTTGAACACCTTCAGCTTGTTTTCTCTCTTAATATATTATATAAAATATCAGAACACTTTCTTCAGAGAGGTGTTACATAGTGGTCAATGTACAAAAACCGCTCAAATGTGATGGTTTTAGTATGTTCTTAATTTATCTGTTGCTGTTTACAGAAGGCCTCAACTCCTTATTTAAAAGGAGTTGCTGTGGGAGGCAGTGCTGCTCGTCTTCTGATCCCGAAGTTCCAGTTGGTTTGTCTGAAACACACAGTTGAGATTTTAGGGGGTGTATTCCACAGCATGGCCTATGCAGCAAGGAAAGATTTTAAGGCTTAGCAAAGTGCCATAAAGTGATACAATTGCAACTGTTGCATTAGCACGCATGGCAGGTACTAGCAACAAAAGGCAAGCTTACAGTTACACCTGTATTGTAATAAAAGTAATCCTAAATATATCTATCCCCAAGAGTGCTTACTACATTATAACTCTTTCATGTAATGTCCAAGGAGATTCCTGGAGGAATAACCCCAAGTACCAGTACAGGCTGGGGGCTGACTTACTAGAGAGCAGCTCAGCTGAGAAGGACCTGGAAGTCTTGGTGTATGACAAGTTGACCATGAGCCAGCAGTGGGCCCTTGTGGTGAGGAGGGCAAATAGTGTCCTGGGGTGCATCGGGAAGAGTGGGGAGAGCAGGTCAGGAGAGGTGATCCTCTCCCTCTACTTGCCCCTAGTGAGGCCACATCTGTGGTACCGTGTCCAGTTCTGGGCTCCTCAGTACAGTAAAGACAATGAGCTATTGGAGAGGGTCCAGTGGAGGGCCACAAAGATGATTAAAAGTCTGGAGCATCTCTCTGATGAAGAGAGACTGCAGGAGCTGGGCCTGTTTGGAGAAGACTGAGAGGGAATCTCATCACTGCATATAAATATCTCAATGGTGGTGCCAAGAAGACAGTGCCAGTCTCTTCTCAGTGGTTTCTAGTGACAGGGTGAGGAGCAATGGCCATAAACTAAAACACAAGAAGTCCCACCTCAATATGAGGAAGAAACTGCCACATGAAGGGTGGCAGAGCACTGGAACAGGCTGCCCAGGGAGGCTGTGGAGGCTCCCTCTCTGGAGACATTCAAAACCACCTGGATGAGTTCCTGTGTCACCTGCTCTAGGTGACCCTGCCTCAGCAGGGGGGTTGGACTAGATCTCCAGAGGTCCCTTCTCACCCTAACACTTTGGTGATTCTGCAAGCTGTACTGGAATGGGAGAACTGAAGTAAAGCATCCCTGCCCCACTGCTGCTTAAAGGTTTAAAAGAAATCCCTAAACTGATGAAATAATTTTTTTAAGCAAGCTGTGAGCCTTCCTGATGGTCTGTTATGTACACCACTGTGGCACAGGTTTGGTTTGACATAAGAAAACAGGACAGATAAGACCTACTTTAAATCAATTTTATTTTCATTGACTTCAACAATTTTTTTAAATTTATTTTTTTTTACACAATTTCCAGCAACATACATTATGAAATATACAAGATAAAGTAGGTGGTGGGGTTCTGCCCATCTTGTAATTCCTCCCACAGCTGTGGAGGCAAGACTTGCAGGACACAGTGAACATCAGAATCTCAACACTGAAAACAGACACAAAACAAAAAAGACAAAAATATATATGAAACTGTTTGAACTGGTCACACTTCAGGGCCAGGTACAGCACAATAAATATTAGAACTGCATTATCTTAGACATCTTCTGTAAAGTTTATAACATCCTCTATTTAAAGAGATAAGAACATCTGGTTTCTAGCATGAAATGCTACATTGTACAGTGGTGAAGGGTACAAATGATGAGGAGCCCAGCAAGGGCTTGGATGGTGACCACTCATTCACACATGCTCATTGATAAAATAAGCAGCATACACCAAAAGTTTAGTGAGCTGTAAACTTAAGCGTTCACTACCAGAACATCAGCTGGAGGAGCAGTTTCTTTTGGGAGAACCAAAAATAGTGAATCCCTTTAAGTTTCAGCTGGGCTCTCCCCTGACAAACAGTGGGTTGATACCATAATGGAAGTGGCAGCATTTGGTCCGTAGCACAAGATCCCTTTGCGTCACTACTGTTCAGAGCTGGCGGCCGGTGGAAATACTTCAGTGCAGAATTGAACGCGTACGGAGGCACCGTGTCACCAACAACAGGTACTGTCTAGTGACTGTAACAAAGCAGCAGATGGCAGCTGGAACCCAGCTGAGCGCAGGGTGCTGCACAACCAAGCAGCACTGGATGCCACCTCACACGAGCAAGAGGGAGAGACTGGAGAGGATGCCAGGGTTTCTCTCTCTCGCTCTGCAGCAATGGGATTAGTGCTGGGCTTGGGGACTTTGACAGAAAGGCTGTGCTCTGCTCATTCCTCACCTCATTCTAATTTTGCCAATAAACAAGCTCAAGAGACAGCAGTTTCAGCTGCTTGACAGTGCTTCCAGAGCACAGAGCAGAAAAACAAGAGTCCCTGGTTTCTCTTGCATCGTAATCAACAAGGCAGGAGTAAATACATTTTGTAGTCGTCAACCTTCCCCTGTTCATCCCCCATCCCCAGTTTAGCATCATACATTCCTCTTACACGGGAACTGGGGACCTTCTGTGCCACCACCCAACAGGCCCTTGTGAGCACAGGTGGAGGAGGAAGGCTAAGCCTGCGCTTTCCTTTCCTTGGCATGACCCAGGCATTGCACTGGGGGGCAGCTGCACTGGCAGACAGAGCACCACCAAGGCAGGACTGCGTTCTGGTCCACACGTGTGGCATCACCGTGACTTGCCATCTACGTCCTGCAGTACATGGCAGCAGTCACAAGCTTCAGAAACTACAGCAGCTGAGTGTCATGAAGTTTTATGGGGTGAGTGGGAACCAAGAAGGTAAAATCTTGCTGGAAGCTAAGCACCTATGGCTTTGACTTTAGCTGATTCTGAGTCCAACAGTCCTATCTGCACTAAGTAGGAAGATAAAATTGTTTTTCTCCAGTGCACAAAATGATACTGGTCGCTTGTATGTGCTCATCTTCTAGTTAGTCCCTTCTTGGGGAAAACCACAACTACCACCACATTTCAATACCAACAGACTCAACTGAGAGACTCAGAAGTTACAGAGTAGTGAAGAATTTTTGGTTGATCAACATGTCATCAGAGTATGGTCAAAAGTTCTGTTTGAGAACAGGGAGTTCTACATCTGATAGTCACTTAGCAAAGTGCCAGGTGTAAATGCCCTTACCACTGCCAGCTCGCAATGTACCGCATGGCTGCATGAAGACCTACACCTCCTCTGCCAGTACAGCTCAACTGGTTACATCCCAAGATGAAAGACTGGTTACCAAGAGAGCTGGGAGAGGAAAGGTTAAATTTTTCCCACCCTAGAAGTGTACAACAGCATTTCCTCACTCAGCCAGGCTCATTCACACCTCACTCACCATTTCAGACACACAAAGCAATGCCAAATATAAACTAAGAGGAATGTTTTGTAAAGACACTCTCTGAGTATGAACAGGGAAAACACAGGGTAATTTATCAACTCAAGTACTGTTGCATCATTCTCGTAAGGTAGGGAAGCAGAGGAGCTGAGATGAGGAACTGAGAGGACAAAGTGGAGTGGTCACAGAGGTCGAGTCTAGTCTTCCAGACTGCGAAATGCATTCTGCATATCCTCAAACAGCTGAGCATAGTCCGCCTTGATTTTTGTTTCACCGTCTTTGACAGGATCCTGAAAGAACACAGCAAATAAGCAGATCAGTCAGAAAAAGCCTTGTGTACTTAAGACAACCCTGCTTTGCCAGTGCTGTAATGTCTCAGCCTCAGGACTAACACTTGCTAACTGCAGGGCAAGCATTGTAGCTCTGTCTTTGCTCCTATCTGTCTCCCAAGCCAACAAGGTTTAAATCTCATTCTCTTCCCACATTCAGTGAGCAGACAGAATGGATACTGGACAGAGGGGTTTTTTTGTGAGCAGTGGTTACTGTATTGAAAAGCAACTGATTTGGAGGGGAATACTGAGGGTCTTTGTTAATGCTGTGTGATTCAAGAGCTGCAGTGATTAATCCCAGCTCCTATCCCCAAATGCAGTTAGGATCTTTGTGACTCAAATGCTCTGCTGTACTTTCTTAGGGGTGCATCCCCAATAAGTGCAAGAGTTACTCTGCCATCACTCAGAGGTTGCTTGGTTCAAAGCAAAATACATCATGTAATCATAAGAAGCTCAAAACTATTCTTTGCACAGCTTCATTTTCTCAAAATACTTTTCAAGAAAGACAAAGGCAAAAAATGTAAAAATCAGCTTTGCTCTGAGGCTGCAAAGTTTTCTCCACAAGAAGCATTAACTGCCAGGCTTTGAAATCTGTTCAATGTCTTCACCATTACCCTCTCAAGTGATAAGTTCCTCTGGACCAGTGCATCTCTTGGGAAACACAGAGGCCTTACATGTGTGAATGCACTACTTCTTAAATTGTCTCTCCAAAGTACCCAGACTGCAGGATACAAAACATCTAAACTCTCATACCTTTTAGACTTACCCAGGGAATGTAATTTTCCTTTCATAACTATTAAAGAGCCAGTTCCACTTATCATATATTCACCCTCTGGGTCCCTTTCTTAGCCATGCTACCCAGCACTGTGCTGTGTGCCAGACGGCTGCTAGTGGCCAGGGTTTGTAGAAAGTGTTTTAATTCCCTATCTCTACATAAACAGCTCTCAAAGAAGCTCATGTCCCCAAGTGTATCTTGTATTCTTGATGCTTTGAGAATATATCCCAGGGATCTGCTTACTGCAGAAACAAGCCACTACTCTGCAGGAAGACTGGCATGCCAGAACATTTAATTCTAAACATAATTTTATCCTATGGTACTTGTTCTTGAAAGATTTGCAATACTGACTTATACAACAGAGTAACGATTATATTTCATAGAGGATATTCCTTATAGAGGATATTCCTTAGTTACTTTGATATCAGCCAATATCACAGTTATTACTACCAGTAATTGCTACACCAGCATGCTCTGGAAGAGTTTTAGGAAAGCTGTACCCTAAAACAATGCTACTGAAGTTACCCAGAGCAGGTGCTCCAATCCACTTGTTTTCTCTTTAGCCCATGTTGAAGTTACTCCTCCCTTCCTCTCCTCCTAGTTGCCTGCCTTCAGTCCTGAAGCCAAACACAGGGCACATCATGTATTATTGCAGGAGACTAGCATTTCTTTCCTTAACTTCCATTTAGAAGAGCTTGTTCAAAATTTCTATCATTCACTTTTTAGCACATTCCTGGATTTAAAATTCAGGCTGCTTTTATCTGATAATGGTCTCCTTAGAACATGTTATGTATTTTTACAGAATTTTATCACAAAACCCCCAAAGCAAACAGGAAAGGTGCTTGTACTGTTACCATGACTGTATGTAACATAAAAGAGGCTGCTGAAGATGGGGTTGCCAAGGCTATGCAGG